AATATGACCTTGAGTATACTCCACCTGAATTTAGAGACCATCTGAAGAATAGATTTGATGCATTGAACACCAATGACTGAAAACTAGACGACTTGTGGGATGATACCAAGAACATCATACATGGAGAAAGTAAAAGGTCATTAAAAGGCCAGGAAAGGAAGAAAAGACCAAAATGGATGTCAGAAGAGACTGAAACGTGCTCTTGAACAGAGAGTAGCTAAAGCAAAGGAAGAAATGACAAGATAGATAAAAGAGCTGAATGGAAGATTTCAAAGAGCAGCTCTAGAAACCAAAGTTAATTATAAGAAAATGTGCAAAGGCTTGGCATTAGAAAACCAAAATAGAAGAACTTACATTTGGCATTTCTCGAGCTGAAAGAACTGAAGAAGAAATTTGAGGCTCGAGTTGCAATATTGAATGATGCAGGAAACATCAAAATACGGTGGAAGGAATACAGTCACTGTACAAAAATGAGTTGGGTGATGTTCATCTATTTTAAGAGGTGACATATAATCAAGAACTAATGATATTTGAAGGAGGAAGTTGAAGCTACATTGAAGGAATTGGCAAAAAACAATGCTCTAGGAATTGATGAATTGCCCGTTAAGATGTTTCTATGCCAAGCAATTTGGAAGACAGCTACCTGGCTGACTGACTGGAAGAGATCCATATTTGTATCCATTCCAAAGAATGGTGATCCAACAGAATGTGGAAATTATTGAACAATATCATTAATATCACACACAAGTAAACTCTGCTAAAGAAAATTAAAAAATGGTTGCAGCAGTATATTGACAGGGAACTTCCAGAAATGCAAGCTGAGTTCAGAAGATGATGTGGAATTAAGGGATATCATTACTAATGTCAGGTGGATCTGGCTGTAAGTAAATACTAGAAAAATGTTTACTTGTATTTTATTGACTATGCAAAAGCATTTGACTGTGTGGATCAAAACAAATTATAGATAACATTACAAAGAATGGGAATTCCAGAACACTTAATTGTGCTCATGAGGAACCTGTACATCGACCAGGAAGGTGTCATGTGAACAGAACAAAGGAATAACACATAGTTTATAATCAGGAAGGAGCTACGTCAGGGTTACATCCTTTCCGCCTACTTGCTAAATCTGTTTGCTGAGCAAATAATCTGAGAAGCTGGACTGTATGAAGAAGAATGTGGCATAGGATTGGAGGAAGACTCATTAACAGCCTGCAATGTGCAGGAAGCACAGCCTTGCTTGCTGAAAGTGAGGATGACTTAAAGCACTTATTGATGAAGATTAAAGAATACAGTCTGCAGTATGGATTATATCTCAATATAAAGGAAAAAATCCTCACAACTGGACCAATAACAGCACCATGATGAATGGAGAAAAGATTGAAGTTGTCAAAGATTTCATATTACTTTGTTCTACATTTGATGCCTATGGAAGCACAGGACATCAGATGATGTATAGCACTGGACAAATCAGCTGCAAAGGACCTATTTCAAGTGCTGAAAAAGAAAGATGTCACTTTGAAGACTAAGGTGCGCCTGACACAAGCCATGGTGTTTTCAGTTGCCTCATATGCATGTGAGAGCTGAACAATGAATAAGGAAGACCGAAGAAGAGTTGATGCTTTTGAGTTGTGGTGCTGGTGAAGAATGCTGAGTACCACGGACTGCTAAAAGAGCTAACAGACCTGTCCTGGAGGAAGTGCAGCCGAAATGTTCCATGGAGGTGAGAATGGCCAGACTTTGTCTCACCTGCTTTGGTCACGTTGTCAAAAGGGACTATTCCCTGGAGAAAGATGTCATGCTTGGTAAGGTGGATGGTCGACAAAGAAGGGAAAGGCCCTCAACAAGATGGATTGACAGTGGCTGCAGCAGTGGGCTCAAATGTAGCAAGTGTCGAGGAGCTGGCGTGGGACTGAGCAGTGTTTCATTCTGTGCATAGGGTCTCTGCGTCAGAAGCAACTCTACGGCACCTAACAACAACAACCCAAGCCATGGTGTTTTCAGTTGCCTCATATGCATGTGAAAGCTGGACAAGGAATAAGGAAGACTGAAGAAGAGTTGGTGCCTTTGAATTGTGATGTTCGCAAAGAATATTGAAAATAACGTGGAGTGACAGAAGAACAAATCTGTCCTGGAAGAAGTGCAGCCAGAATGCTTCTTGGAAGAGAGAATAGCCAACTTTGGTCATGTTATCAGAAAGGATCGTTCCCAAGAGAAGAATGTCATGCTTGGTAAAGTGGAGGGTCAGCAAAAAAGGGGAACATTCTCAACAAGATGAATTAACATAGTGGCTACAACTATGGGCTCAAGTATAGCAAGGATTGTGAGGGTGGCGCAGGACTGAGCAGTTTCTTTCTGTTGTATATAGGGTCGCTATGAGTCAGCACCAAATCAGCAACACCTAACAGCAACAAGTCTCAGCTCCCTTAAGGAATGTTCCAGGCTATATAGCTCTTTATGGGAGATCAAGGGTTCTGAATTTTGGGCATATTGCTTGCTACAAAGTTTCAAACCTTATTTTCCGGCTCTCCCAGTGAACTTGTGAACTAACCAATATTCCTTTTAGTAAACTTCTTTTCTGCTTATGTTAGGAATCCTAATTAAAAAGGTTAAACATTTGGCTACTAACTAAAATTGGCAAATCCACTCAGAGGTACATCAGAAGAAAGGTGTGGTGATCTGCTTTCAAAAGATACTGGCTGTTGAAAACTCTATGGAGAAGTTCTCCTCTCAAACACCTGGGGTTGCCGTGAGTCAGAATTAACTTGGCAGCAACAAGTTTGATTTTTAGGGATTTTTCATGTTTCAATTAGAAGTGGCTTCTGTTGCTGTCAACTAAGAACCTATAGATCTTAACACACTTAGTTCAGAATTACGCAGCTCTATTAAACAACAGCAGCAAAAAGATGTTTAGAACATAGAGGAATTAAATAGAAAGTAGACGGTGGTTGTTGTTGTTGTTATGTGCCGTCGAGTCAGATCTGACTCATAGTGACCCCTCCTTGGGTTTCTGAGGCAGTATCACTATGGAAGTAGATTGCCCAACCTTCCTTCCAGGGAGTGGCTGGTGGGTTTGAGCTTTCTGGTTAACAGTCAAGTGTCTTAGGCACTAGCTACCAGAGCTTCTAGAAAGTAGACTAGTTTCTCTTAATTCTCAATGCTGGGAGAGTGCGGGGTGTGCTAGGAGCAGTGGCACCTCCTCCTGGTGCTTCTGTGGGTAGGAAGAAGGAAGAGAGAATAGAGAAAACATCTCTTTGTACTACTTTTAAAAAAATGGTTGAAAATAACAAAGAAATGTATGAAATGTGAGGGAATCAGAACATGTTATAAAGCCACTGTAATTAAATTTATATGATTGGGGCATATACTAGACAAATAGATCAGTAGAACATGATAATCATAATTACATAAATTGCGATATTTGCATATTTCAGGTACGATGAAACTTGTGTTTCATCAGTTACTAAATCAGAACTAAATTCCAGATGGATTAAAAGTTTGAAAGTATAAAAAATTAATGCCATACCAGTCTTTTGAGGAAATCTATCAAATTATATTAATAATCTGTGGATGAGGAAAATAAGTTTTACAAAGATTTAGATCCCAGAAGCTGTTAAAAAAATTCAAATTTAGCCGTACTAAAATAGTAATTTTAATGTGATAAAGATTCCTTATATAGAATCAATATCTAAGGTAGAAAAAATATTTGCCGCATAGAGGACAGTATTAATACCTGTAATGTTCAAAGAATTCTTATAAAGGAACAAAGAAAGCAAATAACCCATCGGAAAAAAATGGCAGAAATTATGAAGAGGAAATTTGAAAGCAAAATCTTCTAATATAGCTAACAAACTTAAGAAAATATGCTTGAATCTCTAGTAGTCAACCTACCCGCTGCCATGGAGTCAATCACAACCCTATAAGACAGAGTAGAACTGCCCCATAGTGTTTCCAAGGCTTTAAATATTTATGTAAGCAGATTGCCTTATCTTTCTCCCACAGAGGAGTTGTGGGGTTCAAACTTTTGGTTAGAAGCCAAATGCCTTAAGCACTGCACCACCAGAGCTCCTTTCTAGTAGTTAACCAAAACCAAAACCAAAACCACATTCTCTGCCGTCAAGTCGGATCCAACTCATAGTGACCCCTCCTTGAGTTTCTGAGGCGATATCTCTACAGAAGTAGATTGTCCAATCTTCCTTCAGAGGAGTGGCTGGTGGGTTTGAACCACTAGCCTTCTGGTTAGCAGTCAAATACCTTAGGAAGTACACCACCAAGGAAATGTAAATTAATAGTGAAATCAGGTTATATCCATCTGACTTAGGAAGGAGCTTCTGAATGTCACTTGAAGAGATTTCCACAAGATATTATTGAATGAGAAAAGCAAATGTAGGCAAGGTATATACTACGGTCTTAATTTTTAAATAGAAAAAAGTATGTCTAAAAACCTCTGTGGATAGGTGTTTATATGTTATGAATATGTATGTAAGTATAAATTTGTATTATATGGACATGGAGAAAAATATTCAAAGATATTTATTAGTTAACATGGATTATCTGGATAGATAGTAGGAAGAGAGTAAGAAACAGGAACCAAGGCAAACAAGGAAAAATAAAAAGAAAGACCACATAAATATGAGGAACAACTCATTCCTTATGAATTAGTTTTATAACACTGTCATGTAACTGTATATATAGTATAATATTATAGAAAGATAAAAGCATTAATTATAGATTCAGAATATCTAGGCTAGGTCCCAGCATCACTGCTTATTTAACATGTGACTATAATCAAGTGCTTAACCTCTTTGGACCTGTTTGTCATTTTTTTAAATAAAGACAATGAAATCTACTTTGCAGAACTGTTCTCAGGATGAAATGAGGTAATATATGTGAAGGTAACTGACATACTACTTGACCTATTATAAATGCTCAGTAAATCTCTCATCTCCCTCCTTCACTTTAAATATATTTAACTTTACAATGTCAATATTAATTTCTAGATTATGTGTGGCAATCCAAGAAACCAATCAATTAAGAGCAGAGAAAACAAATCTGGAAAAACAGAGCAGAGAGTTACAAGCGAAGTGCACTGAATTGGAAAATGAGAAATTTGAAGCTATTGTAAGAGCTAGAAATAGCGTACAACTCTTAGAAGAAGCTAACCTTCAAAAAAATCAGGTAAGAAATCTAGTAAACATGTTTGTAAATAATAAAATACTGGATATTCCCTCATATGGCCTAACAGTAAGAGAAAGAATAACTGCAGAATGGCTGGATGAAACTTTCCATTAATAGACATAGCATCTTCTCGGATTGTAACACTTAATGTCATAAAATATGATAAAATATCAGTTAATTCTCTACCAAAACTGATATATAACAAACTTTTTTTATGTCTCCCAATCCTTGTATAACTAATCTTCATCCCTTATAGACTCGTATTTTTAAAAAATCTGTTTTAACACTTTACTGCAGTATACCCTATATAATATTCAGTTCAGTCAGATGAATCATATTTCTCTGTTTCCTCCTCAGAACCTACATAATTACTAGAGTAGGAACTTTAATTGTCCTTAATTACATATAGATGTAAAGATTAACTGGTGCATTCCCATCACAGTTGTTTTTGTTTTCCTTTTATTTTTTTTTTAACTATCTAACAATTGCAATTCCTATGCTATCATATATAATGTTTCTTATCTTATACCACTTCCATATGAATGTTACATTATTTATAGAGGTCACCAATTAGACAGGTTTATTTTTAATGTTCTTATTTCCATTATGTAGAGATCATTAATTCGTTTAATAAACACTTACTGAATGCATAGTATATGGGGGATACAAAAGAAATGCTTTGTTTTATTTTTATTTCCTTTTTTACATATTTTCCAAGACAGCTACTAAGAATAGAACAAGCTATAAGTTATGTATATAAGAACTAATGTTGTTGTTGTTATGTGCTGTTGAGTCAGACCCTACTCACAGCGACCCCTCCTTGGGTTTCCGAGGTGGTATCACTATGGAAGTAGATTGCACAACCTTTCTTCTGAGGAGTGGCTGGTGGGTTTGAACTGCCAGCCTTCTGGTTAGCAGTCAAGTGCCTTAGGCACTATGCTACCAGAGCTCCTGATAAGAAATAACAAGAAATGAAAAATAAATAATTGTCCAAATCCAAACTGTGGAAAGGCTGAGCTGCTTATCATGCCTTTCAGGCATTATTCCTTTCTATTATCTGAATGCTGTCTCTTAGAATGGTTAAAAGTCATACAATAGTGACAATATGCTTGAGAATTGTTCTAAACAGCTTAGCAAGCTAGAAAAAAATAAGGTCAGAACAACATTATTTCTGCCCTACAAAGCCTAACTATATGAGCAAGCCTAGCTATATGTGGAGCACAGTGCACAAAAAGGGAAGTAGTAACACTCATTGCCTGTCCCCCAAATCTCTTCCAAATCCTTAGTCAACAGACTTTCGCAGTGGCTATGGCTGCAATACTAAGATGTCTCTGGGCTCATTGCTTAAATGCTAGAGAGTTCCCATCCTCTTTCTTGTTCACAGAAAGCAAGGGTTCTCTCAGCCCATTATTCAAATAAGCAGGAAGCACAGCCTAGTATTCCTTCTTGACCTCCTAGGCTTAGACTTTTATGGTGCTTCCTCCCCTACTCATCGGGAGCTCTGATAGCATAGTGCCTAAGCATTTGACTGCTAACCAGAAGGCTGGAGGTTCAAATCCACCAGCCACTCCTTGGAAGGAAGGTGGGGCAATCTATTTCCGTAGTGATACTGCCTCAGAAACCCAAGGAGGGGTCGCTATGAGTTGGGTCCAACTCGACGTCACATAACAACAACAACAACCCCTACTCATTGTCCCATTTTACCCCACAAAGTTTTTACATCAGAACACTTGTTCCTCTCACTAACTTACTTATGTAAGCAGGGGGAAGTGCATTTAAAAAAAAAAAATGAAAAAAAACAGATGGGCCTGTTTATGGTAGCTTTGGAACATACTGAAATCAGAGAAAAAGCCACTTAATGTGAGGTGATCAAAAAAGAGATTCAGTCATGCATAATCAGAGGAATTCAGAGCTCTGAAAGATAGCTGGGTTAGAAATATGAATTTGGATATTGTCAGCATATGAATGATATTTAAAACCATAAAATTAAACCACCAAGAGGCGGACATAGAGAAGAGGACCAAGGTCTGTGTCTTGGGTAATCCAATATTAAGAGGTTTGAGAGAAGAGAAAGAACCAGCAATGCAGACTGAGAAGGAATTGTCAGTGAGGTAAGAGGTAAACCAATACTGTGATGTCTGAAAGCCAAATAAAGTAAAACAAGGAAAAGAAAGTAACCCATTATCTCAAGTGCAGCTGATAGATATTTAAGATAAACACGTAAAGCTTACTCATAGATTATCAATGTAAAGATCATAAGTGGGGAAAGCATGATTGGAATGAAAGTAAAAATAGATGGGAGAAGACTTTGAAAGAGTTGTACTCCACACGGAAGCAAAGAAATGGGGTATGACCTGACAACAAATCTAGGATTATAAGAACAGTTCTTAGTTGGGAGATGGAAATGTTTGTTTGGAGGGATAGAAACCCATTAAGGAGACAAAGTAGGTAGTGTCTGTGGCAGTCTGTGGGATGAGATGGTAAGGGACTTTGTGGTAGTGAAGGTTGTGTGTCAGCTTTTCTGGGCCAAGGTTTTGAGTGCTTGACAGCTGGATGTTAGTTATTTCCCATGATGAGACTGTAGTCAACTCCATGATGGAGTGGAATATGCTGTGAGCTGCTAAATAATTGCCTTTGAGGTGTGGCCTGCTACTAGTATATATGGAGAAGCTTTGAGGAAGGTCTAGCTTTCTGGCACATCTAGATCCTGCATTTGGCCAAGTCTTCATCTCTAATTTCTGGACTTGAACCAGTGGCCTGCTGTGTTGCCTGCTGATCTTGGGAATTGTTCTTGAACTTGAATCAGTGGCTTGCCATCTTGCCTACTGCTTTTGGGATTGTGTCATTTTACCTGCCAATCTTGATTTTGTCAGCCTCAGCAGCCAGAAGCTGCCTGAGTTTGGACATTCCTCCAGCTCTAGTGGGCCTGGAACCAGAGGCAGAGCTGAAGCCCAAGGTCAAGGGGACTTCATCCAGCCCCTCAAACAAACACTCTAGATTTGGACTTCTAACCTCCTAAACTATAAAAGAATAAATTCCTCTTTGTTAAAGCCATGGACTTGTGATATTTCTGTTACAGCAGCAGTGGAGAACTAAGGCAGACCTAATCTGAATGATGGCAAATAATAGAAAGGGAAATCCAGGAGATTTTTCCAAGGATATAATTGATTTGATAACCTATTTTGTAGAGGATCTGAGGAGAAAGAAAATACAAAAGTGACTCTAGGATTTCCAGCTGTCTCTTCAAAAGTGATAGAAATACTGACTAAAATAAATACCAAAGAACATGAACAACTTTGTAGTTAGTGCAAGGTCAGGTAAGGAGGTTAGGGAAAATAAATATCATTCATGACTTAGGCAAAATGTCTAAATGGATAGGCCCCGGAAGTTTAGAAGATGTTTACTTTCAAGAAAATAATGAATGGATAGATTTTTACCCATATATTATGTTATCTTTACTAATAATGCAGTGATGTATAATAACTAGAAATGATTGTTTTCTGAAGGCCCTGCTTGAAGAGAAGCAAAAACAAGAAGATGTGGAGAAAATGAAAGAAACAATTTCTCGGCTTGTACAAGATGCTTCCATAAGAACCAGGAAAGAAGTAAGGGATTTTTAATTACATTTAAAATTTAAGATTTAAATTATAACTAAAGACTGAATATTACCTAAGTTTGTGCCTGAGAGACCTAGCTAATTAGCCATCAGCTAAGCCCTGATGGCAAAGTGGTTGAGCACTAGGCTGCTAGATGTAAGATCTGTGGTTCATACTTAGCAGCTATTCTGCTAGAGAAAGATGTGGCAGTCTTATTCTGTAGAACTATGCTATGAGTAGAAATCAAATAGATGCCAAAAAGGTGTTTTTGTTTTTTTTTTGGAGGGACCGCGGATTGCAGCAATTTTGATATATTTCAAATAAAAAGTGTCCCAGGATTGTAGCCCCTACCATTGAATAGTAGAAAGGAGAGAAGGATTTATACTAGAATTACAATGAAGCTGAAGTAAAATTTTTGAAAGTCTCAAAAATAAACTTAAAGTGCCCAGTAGGAAAGAAGAAAGCCTATTGTTGTTTATAATATCTTAAAAATTTCTCAGGACCCACTAGATCTAGTTTAACCTCTTACTTGATTGGTTAAGAAACTGAAATCCCTGAGAAACCACTGTCATCGAGTTGATGCCAACTCATAGTGAGCCCTGTAGGATTTCCAAGGCTGTAAAATCTTTACAGAAGTAGATTACCTCTTCTTCCTCCTGTGGAACACCAGGTGGGTTTGAACTGCCCACCTTCTGATTAGCAGCTAAATTCCTTACAAAATCTCTAAGAAATATATACTAATAGGCAGAGCCATACCGATCCAAGCATAGTTTTAATCGCATCCTGATGCTGTTTACACAATTTGTGAATTAAGTTGTTTATCATTTATTATCAAGACTAAATTTAATGTCTTCCAGTTAAAATAATTGAGTTATATGCTTTCATACAAAGAGATATTCAAAATATACGTAATGTTTTCATTTTCTGCTGCTGTAGATATGAATCAGTTCGTAAGTATTCTAATGAAGTTTGACAGTGTAAAATAAGTTTAGAAGGAAGGAACCATGAAAATCCATCTTAAAAATGAGAAAATGAAATACAGAGAAGTTAAGTAACTTACTTAGGATTCCATCTCTAGGAGGTGGCAGAGCTGGGCTATAAATGCAAGTGTATTGATTTAAGAGCTCTGCTCTCAATCATGATGAAAAGTTTATTGCCATTAGTTTAATATCATTTTTATTTTTAGAAATTTCCAAATCCATAAAATGGCTGAAAGAGCAGTGCAGTGAATACCAATTTACCCCTCACCCAGATAATTCCGAATGGCTTGTCACATCCATTCTGTGTCTCTATATAAGTGCACACTCTCCCCTTTTGTGATCATTCAAATGTAGGCCACAAGGATCATGACACTTTATTCCTAAATACCTCAGCATCCATTTCCCCACAAAAAGGACATTTTCCTACACAACCATACCACTACAACCATACCTAAAAGAAAAAAAAAAAATCAACATTACGTCAGTACAGTCCACACTCAAATTTCCTCAATTTCTTTAAAATATTCTTTTGGCTTATTTTGTTTTGTTATAAATCCAGGATCCAATCAAAGTTCCTAGGTTATATTTAGTTGCTGTGTCTCTCTAGGCCCTATCAGTTTAGTCTCATCTTTTGCCTTCCTTTATGTATGATGTAGACGGAATACAGGCCAGTTGTCCTGCAGAATATCGCACATTCTGAATTCATGGGACTATGTCCTTATGATTAGATCAGGTCTTGCTGGCAGGGTGATGATGTCTACTTTCCATTTCATACACCGGGAAGATGTAATGTCAAGATGTGATTCTGCCAGGGATGTTAAGCTTGACCAGATGGTAAAGATAGTAATACCACATCTCTACATTGTATACTTAATAAGTAATTGGGAGGGATACTTTAAAACCATGAAGGGATCCTTTTCTACCCATATCTTTCACCTAGTGGTCTTAGCATCCACTGATGATCTCTGCCTAAAATAAATACTATATAAAAAACCAAACTCACTGCCACTGAGTTGATTCTGACTCATAGTGACTCCCTTTGGGCAGTAAATCTTTATGGAAGTGGATTGCCTCTCTTCCTTCCATGGAATGGCCGGTGGGTTTGAACCACCAACCTTCTGGTTAGCAGTCCAATGCTTTAGTTACTACTCATATCGAAGAATGCTGAAAGTACCATGGACTGCTAAAAGAACTAACAGATCTGTCCTGGAGGAAGTGCAGCCAGAATGCTCCTTGGAAGCAAGAATGGCCAGACTTCGTCCACCTATTTTGGTCATGTTGTCAGAAGGGACCATTCCCTGGAGAAGGATGTCATGCTTGGTAGGGTGGAGGGTCGACAAAAGAGGGGGAAGCCTTCAACGAGATGGATTGACACGGTGGCTATGATGATGGACTCAAGTATAGCAGGGATTGTGGGGCTGGTGCGGGATCGGGCAGTGTTTCGTTCTGCTGTGCATGGGGTCGCTATGAGTCAGAAACGACTCGACGGCACTTAACAACAACATATAGTAGATTTGAAATTTTTCTTCTATCATTCCTTCTATGCATTTATTAGCTGTCATTTTTCTGTGAAGAAAAGTTTCCTCCTTTTTTTTAGTATCACATGGATCTTTTTAATTATATAAGTTATAAGCCATTACTATTATTACCGTTTTCTGTTCTCAAATTGGCTCTTTAGTTTTCTTGCATAAATGATGTTCCTATCTGTGATAGTTATGTTTGTGTGTCAACTTGGCTGGGCCTGGTTGAGAGGCTGGGCAGCTGGTGGTAGTTATTCCCCATGATGAGACTGGCAATCAACTCCATGGTGGGATCTACTACAAGCAGCTGAGTAGCTGCCTTTAGGATGTGGTCTGCTTCCTGTATTTAAGGAGAAGCCTTTGGAATGGTTCTAGCCTATGGCACACTTAAACCCTGCATGTAGCCAAGTTGTTGCTCAGCAGCCTGCTATGCTCTGCCAGCCTTGGGACTTAAAATGGACTTAAGTTAATGGCCTGCCGTGTGGTTTGGTAACATCAGGACTTTGCCTTTTTACTTGTCAACCTTGGGGCTTCTCAGCCTCAGCACCCAGCATGTGTCTGAGTGAAGAAACGCCTCTAGCTCCAGTGGGCTGGGAGCAGGAAGCAGAGCTGGACCCTAAGATTGAGGGGCTTTCATCCAGTCCCTAGAGCCTAGCACTTTGAACTTGGACTTACAGCCTCCAAATTGTAAGAATAAACTCCTATTTGTTAAGGCCATCCCATTTGTGGTATATTCTTGTCAGAGTGGCACTAGGTAACCAGAACACTGTCTCACTTTTTCATTAGCTCAAAGAATGAAAGTTTACATTATGTTTAACAGATAAGTGACCCTAGAAAATTCCTTATGACCTTTGGAGCATAAAAGTTCAATGTTAGTAGTCCTACACAGTCTTTCTAAAACGTATGTTGTTGTTGTTGTTGGGTACCATCAAGTTGACTCCGACTTATAGTGACCCTAGGTACAACAGAACTAAACACTGCCTGGCTGTGCACCATCCTCACAATCCTTGCTATACTTGAGCCTATCATTGCAGCCACTATGTCAATCCATCTTGTTAAGCGTCTTTCCCTTTTTCAGTGACCCTTCACTTTACCAAGCATGAGATCCTTCTCCAGGGAGTTGTCCCTTCTGACACCATTACCAAAGTAGGTAAGATGAAGTTTGGCCATTCTTGATTCAAAGGAGCATACTGGCTGCACTTCTTCCAGGACAGATTTGTTCATTCTTCTAGCAATCCATATTATTTTTTCTTTGCCAACATCGTAATTCAAAGGCATCAACACTTCTGCAGTCTTCCTTGTTCATTGTCCAACTTTCACATGCATATGAGGCGATTGAAAATACTATGGCTTAGGATGTTGTTGTTATGTGCCGTCGACTCGGACCCAACTCATAGCGACCCCTCCTTGGGTTTCCGAGGCGGTATCACTATGGAAGTAGATTGCCCCATCGTCCTTCCAAATAGTGGCTGGTGGGTTTGAACTGCCAGCCTTCTGGTTAGCAGTCAAGTGCCTTAGGCATTAAGCTACCAGAGCTCCTTAGTCTTCAAAGTAACAGCTATGCTCTTCAAAACTATAAAGAGGTCTTTTGCAGCAGATTTGCCCAGTGCAGTACAACGTCTTGATTTCTTGAGTTTGCTTCATGAGTGTTGATTGTGGATCCAAGTAAAATGAAATCTTCAACAACTTCAGTCTTTTCTCCGCTTATTGTGATGCTGCTTTTTGGTCCATTTGTGAGGATTTTTGTTTTCCTTATGTTGAGGTGTAATCCATACTGCAGACTGTAGTCTTTAATCTTCATCAGTAAGTGTTTCAAGTCATCCTCACTTTCAGCAAGCAAAATTGTGTCGTCTGCATATCTCAGGTTGTTACTGATTATTCCTCCAGTCTTGATGCCATGTTTTTCATATAGTCCAGCTTCTTGGATTATTTGCTTAGCATACAGGCTGAAGAACGTGGCATCAAGATTGGAGGAAGAATCATTAACAACCCGCGGTACACTGATGATACAACTTTGCTTGCTGAGAGTGAGGATAACTTGAAGTACTTACTGATTAAGATTGAAGAATACAGTCTGCAGTATGGATTACATCTCATTATAAAGAAAACAAAAATCCTCACAACTGGACCAATAAGCAGCATCACAATAAATGGAGAAAAGATTGAGGTTGTCAAAGACTTCACATTGCTTGGTTCTACAATTGATGCCAATAGAAGCAAAAGTAAGGACATCAGATGACGTATAGCACTGGGCAAGTTGGCTGCAAAGGACCTCTTTTTAGTGCTGAAGAGCAAAGATGTCTCCTTGAGGACTAGGTTGTGCCTGACACAAGCGATGATATTTTCAGTCACCTCGTATACATGTGAGAGCTGGACAATGAATAAAGAAGACCAAAGAAGAATTGATGCTTTTGAGTTGTGGTGCTGGTGAAGAAGCTGAAAGTACCATGGACTGCTAAAAGAACTAACAGATCTGTCCTGGGGGAAGTGCAGCTGGAATGCTCCTTGG